TACCGTGCTCCATAGCTGCAACTGAACAAGCGCGCGGCAAGCACTTCCGGAAATACGGTGGCCACAATGGAAACCAAAACTTGCGTGTTTGGAACCGATGATCGGAATCGAAAACAAATTTTATAAACAATTCCAATGGCATCGTTATTTTTTTAACGGTTCGAAGTTGGAACCGGTTCTCGATGCCCAACCCTACTAGCAGTTGTGCAATAGAGACCCTAAGCCCCTATGAGATACTCTGTCTTGCTGAATCAGGTTCCCACAGCCTGTTATGTTTCCCTTCATCTTTTCTTTTATATCTTATAGTCGGCGGTTTTGTGTCCCACTGTCATGTTCAGGGTTACAAACTGCTCTGAATTCCAAAGGTGCTATTGAATTAAATTGTATTCCCACCCCCCCACGGGTATATGTTGATGGGACCTCCTTTGTCGTAGGTGTCTATCGCTGTGGGACTGGCCGGGTTTGTTTGCCTCGTCCTCGTCATCCTGTTCATCCTCATCAACAAGTACGGCCGGCGCTCCAAGTTCGGAATGAAAGGTGAGCGGAAGCAGCGACCGGCTGCACTCACATCTGGCTGCCAGTGATTAACATGCCTCCTATCCCCGTGGAAATAGAGCGCAGGAGATGTCTGTTAAACTTGGGATTGTGTCTGTAAGGTGGCGTCATATAGTGGATTATATGGTCATCCATGTGAAAGTTACTGTTACATTTTTATGGAGAGTCGAGTGAAACACTACGAAATTTGGACAGTGCGGGATGTGAAAATGAGTATTTTATTTTAGGAGCTTTTAGTTTGTTTTTGTTTAACAGGAGATTGTATATCACCCAGAGGTGTCACTTCACTGCTATTATAAATAAGTATTCCCATTTAAAAAGTGGCAGTTCGTATTCATCACCTCGTGGAGGAGGTCCTCAACCGATGGCAACTGCATGGTCAGTGTCGCTCTGAAATTCAGAACGTCATGTTATTGAGGTTTTGAGCTGTCATCCGGGGTCCATTGCAAACTCGCCAGCCATTGACTGTGGTTGGTCACAAGGTGCGGGAATCCTGGGACCTTATCACTGGATCAGAGCTTGAGGCTGTCTGCTTTCGACTGGGTGGAGGATCCTGTTGACACTCTGCGACTCTAGGCCTCTGTGGTTGTTTTGTCATTTAAGACAGAATCAAAACGGATCAACCAGCTATGGTTAAAAACCATTTTAGATGGAAAGTTTATCTAAATGTTTCCTGTTGAATGTAAACTGGCTCTTAAATATAACCGTGAGCATGATTTAAGCTGGAACATCAGTGCATGTGAGTCGGTGCAGGAGAGGTGTGTTTAATGATTCACTTTCATCCACTGCTCAGTGGGGCTTTCTGATGCGCTTTAAACATCAATGGGATGGTAATGGCTCACGCTTCCCACGCTAATGTCAGCCCAGCGCGTTCAGCGGCCTCCGTGCTGGGATCCTGTTGGGCAGTACATTCAGCGTCAGGAGAGTTCAGCCACTGGAGTATTGGGGGTGGGAGCAATCAGGGCCAGGTGTGTTCAGTGGCAGGAGTGTTCAGCAGCCGGAGTGTTTAGGGGTGGCATGTTGAGCGAGAGGAGTATTCAGCAATGGGAGCATTCAGGGCTGGCTGTGTTCAGTGGTGTGCTCAGTTGCCAGCGTGTTCAACGGCAGGCACATTCAGGGGACTGGGCATGCTCAGTGACGGGAGTGTTCAGCAGCAGGATCATTCAGGGTGGGAGCATTCGGGGCGGGGCATGTTCAGTGGCGGAAGCTTTCAGTTGTGGGCACATTCAGCTGTCGGGAGTTTTTGTCAGCCAGGGTGTTCTGCGGTGAGAGCATTCAGGGGTGGGAGCATTCAGTGACTTGAATGTTCAGGGACGAGCGTGTTCAGTGGCAGGAGCATTCAGTGGTGGGGGCCTTCGGTGGCCAAAGTACACAGGGGTGAGCATCTTCAATAGTGGAAGCATTCAGGAGAAGGAGTGTTCGGTGGCCGGAGTGTTCAGGTATGGACACATTCAGGGGTTCAGCGCATGTAGCGGGCAGAGTGTTCAGTGGTTGGAGCATTCTGGGACGGGCACATTGGTTGGTGGTTGTTTCAGGGTGACGGGATTGGAGGATGGGTGGGAGTCCCTTGTGTGATGACAGGGCGCAGAGATTTTAGTCTTTTTACAGTTTATGAAAAGAGGATTTTTTTAAAAAGCAGAAGTATCATACTGAAAAGTAAAAGTGGAATAGAGATGGTTTTAATGTGCTGGAAGGGATATTTAGTGGGATATTTTGTGCTTTGATCCGTGCTCAGATCTGTGCTCTGATTCGTGCAGTTCCTCATACATATTCTCCATATCCGGAGTCGTGCTCTGGCTTAATGACGTGCCATGATGAGTCTGTGTGTGCTTTTTTTATTTGACGCCGTCTGTTCACATGGACAGACAGGTCCAGAGTATATATCAGGTGGTCTGGTATCGGAAGTGTGGAGGGGGATTTGGAAGCGGGGGATTTGCTGTTTACTTTTTAATTAAGTTCTCAATCTGTGCCTGGATTGGAGGAGTGCGTGAGGAGAGCGAGGAGCTGAACGCAGTGACAGGCACGGCCCCGCGCTCGACCCTGTGATCGTCAGCGGCTGTCACCATGGGAACCGGCCTGACTGGCATGTGACATTCGGCGAGGAGGAAAGGCAGAGACAGAAATCCCCGATGAGACGCTTCCTCTTTTACAAACAGTCTGCTTGATGAAGCCATTTATTGCTCCATGACTTCAGGAGGAAACGAATACACAATGATGTTCCATACCGCTTTGGAGATATCAATGCCCTTCCCTCCCTGTGTTTTAGGCAAGGCTGTTGTCAGTGGTAGTTGGTTCTATGGGTATTTTTTCTGCAGGTGTAGTCATAACTAATAAATAGTGTTTGATACTGATCCAATTTAACATACAGAATATAAACTCAGCGAGAGCAGTAGCAGATGGATCTCATGTTTGGGATGATGTATTATTATAATATTCGTTGAGTATCGGACTTACTGGGAGATGTAGAGTCTGTTAGTCCTTATTGTTATACCATGTTTATCTGCTGTTATATTTGTTTTGTCTAAGGCAGCGTTTCCCAGTCCAGTCCTCAGGGACCCACAGACGGTCCATGTTTTTGTTCCATTCCAGCAAACAAAAATGTAGACTGTCTGGCAGGGACCTGGGCGGGAGCAAAAACGTGGACCGCCTGTGGGTCCCCCAGGACCGGATTGGTAATCACTGGTGTAGGCTACTTTTCCCCCACCTCATCCAGCACTCTGAGAAAGTCTGGGATAGTTTACAGACAAGAGTAGATTAGCATAGTAACTGTTCCAAGTTGCCTTAACAAAGTCTACATGAGAAACCTGTGTCTGTCTGTGAATCCAGGGAGTATTTAGACTCAGTACCTGCTGGATCTCAGAAGACCCCCTTCAGCGGCTTACAGAAAGATTCGTTTATTACCATTTTAGAATTTGACAGCCGGACTGTCAGATTCCAACAGACGATTTTATTTCCCTTTTGAAAATGCTTTGTGTGGCATCGTGTGATCTGAGATTCCACATCGCTGCGTCCCCTTTGTCCTGAAAGGAACTGGAGCTGTATTACTAGCTAAAATTAATGGCAGCAGTCTGACATTTTGCTGGCGGAGTGAGATTTTCCTTTAATGTTAACCGTGGTTGCGTGTCAGGGCTTGGAAGTCGCACATCTTAGCTTTGGCAGTTACAGAAAAACGTGTCACCTGGAAACCGCACTGCCTGCATATTCTGAACTAAAGCCTAGTCGCTATACCCATAAAAGCAAAAACAATATGAAATAGACCAGTGTTTACCGCTGGGTTGTAGCTAATGCCGTATTTGTGTGTTGTACCTTTACTGTGGTGTAGTCGTAATTCAGGCAGCATCATGAAACGTTGCAGGGTTCATATTTTGATATGATAAAATTATATGTAGATTATCATTGAGGCCAGTTGCCATTTTCTCTGTAATGGTTAACAAAAGAAAATTAAGCTTTTGAAGGTGATACAGGAATTTTAAAAATCAGTTCCTACTCCAGAATGTTAGTGGCTAATTCGGTGTATGTTTTGTGAGGTTTAACTGAACTAGGGTTGGGGAGCAGTTGCACTAATTCATCTCATTATGAACAATAACCTATAGGGAAACAGAAAGAGGCTATTAAGACATAAACAAACTATATATATATATATATAGCTTCAATTCAGACCTCCACTCCACATCCGTGTTGCATTGATGGATTTTCTGCTTGAAGAAAGATTGGATTAAAGTGGTTTGTTTTTGTTTTAAGATGAAGACTAGGTCTAGAAAAAAATGGATCATATGTGATTGTATTTAATCAATGTTTGTGACTCGTTATGTCTGCCCGTCATATCCCCTGAGGTACAAAGAGAATTTAGCACGCACCCTGGGGATGGATTTCTGAGGCTAACATAGCGTGTCTAATGCATCACTCTGATTTTTGGAACAATTTTCCAGGTAATTATGCCAAGTAATTTCTTAAAACAAGTCCGTTTACAAAAGGGGATGTTATTTTTGACCGTGTGAGTGATATCCTGCCTTTACTGTTAGATTGACCATGTATTGGTTGCCAGACAGTCTGTCCGACTCCAGTCCTGTCACCTCCATGCAGTCTTGATCATGCTCTGTCCAACAAGAAGATCCTCTCTCAGTCCACTACTACCTGCATCCCTCAGGAAATCTGACGTTACTTATTTACTTCCCAACGTCACTCGTCCCTACCAGTTTGACAGGAACATAGTCTCTTTTTGTGACCACTCTAAGGTTCTTCTCGTTAACATTTCCAAACGTCTGATTTAATTAGAGTGGATTGTGGTGCTTACATAACAGCTTGCATCCTCAGAACTTCGCAGGCAATATATTTCACGTCAAAGGGACCCTTTTTTTGTTTGGTATGGAATAGATTGCTGGAATTATGCTTTGCTTTCAGAAACGAAAAACAAATTAGAAAGTAAATAGAAAATTTCCTCACTGATGAATTTCTCTGTGCCTCTGAAAAATAAAGGGCGTATTAAAGATTGCAGCCGCAGAGGGCCCTGGCTGGCTGCCTGAGCATGAAGCCGGGGGGTGGGGGGTTCTAAGCCAGGGGCAGGATCAAAGTGAGCCAGAGAGGTTTCTTCAAAGGGACCCTCTTTAGCGGATGGAGCTTGCCTGTCTATTAGGGGTAAGTTGGCTGCTCAGTGCTGCGTGAATTACGGCTCTCTTTGCTGGTGGAGGGGGTCTACCTCGGAAAGCTGACCCGCTAAGCGTGCCGTGGAAGACACGTTTAGAGTGAAGAGGGGGTCACTAATGTAATAACTATATACCATACAGCAGTGTGTCCCAATATGGTCCTGGACTGACAGACAGTCCACTGCCGGGAGCTCGGAGGGAGCAAAAACATGGACCGACTGCAGGTACCTGAGGACCGGATTGGGAAACACTGTCATGCACACTTCCTGGAGCTGGACAGGCTGGAATTATATTTCCGATGATCTTATTCATTTGCCCGAGCCGCTCGCTGAACCCTGC